AACAAACTAAACGATCAAGTGCTAAGCTAACGGAATGGGTCAAGTCAATCACATCATTCTCCTAATGATGTGATCCCGTTAATCAAATGACAACTCATGTCTATGGTTAGGAAACATAACCATCTTTGATCAACGAGCTAGTCAAGTAGAGGCATACTAGTGACACTCTGTTTGTCTATGTATTCACACATGTATTATGTTTCCGGTTAGTACAATTCTAGCATGAATAATAAACATTTTTCATGATATAAGGAAATAAATAATAACTTTATTATTGCCTCTAGGGCATATTTCCTTCACTCACGTCGAAGGAGACCCGCCGGAAGCGCGGTACGCAAGACAATCCGGCGGGCGCTTTTGAGGACCCGAAACACCACGCGCCCGGGAGGGACCCCATCAGGGTGCGCGACGGCTATGGGATGCCCTAGGTCGGCCTAACCGCCCCTAGGGCCTCGAGGTTCGCCGCCCTGCAACAAGAAGAACGAACGAAGAACGAGGAAGAAGAAGAACAAGGGGGGAGAAAAAGTAAAGGTAAAAGACGTAGATAGATTTGTTCGATTGTGTATTGTTATTCAATCGGCCGTCACCTCTTACATATATATGAGGCGGCTGGACTTTCCGTACAAGAAAAGAACTCAAATCCCGTCCAAAACATCAAAAGATAACCTAACTCGGACCACGAGGGCCGGAACTTCCGGTCAGCCCGGAACTTCCGGGCCAAACTTACATCAAGTAGCCCTCTTGCACAGATCCTGCAGGTCGCATATGGCTTCGGATCGCGACGGTCCCAAAAGCAAAGTTGTAGATCTTGCAATGGAGAAAATTTCATTAGTTGATCACTTTTTCATCTGAGGTCATCCTGATGTCGAAATCGGCCCCGTAAATCTGCAAATAATGTTAAAATTTCAGTTTCCGGGGCGCACCGCGTGTAAAGTTTCTGTTTAGCCCGGAACCTCCCCGGAAGTTTTGCTCGGAACTTCCTAGGCAGACTTTTGCAGCACACCGTTTTGATTATAACTTTTGCATACGAACTCCGATTTAGACGTTTCTTATATCAGAATCGATCATTTCGACGAGACGAAGACAGTTCGTGTAGAAACTTTTCCCATATGAGGCCATCTTGGGGGCATAATTAGCTGAATAGTGTTCTGAATACAAAATCTGAGTACTTCGAACACAACTTCGGCCTTAGAGATGAGACCGGATGACTATGGCCCAAATATCAAAGTTTTTCCATTTGACGATATGGAACTTTCTCACTTTGAGCACTTCTCCATTTGAGACCATCTTAATTAAGTTCTTGACCGTGCCAAAATCTGGTGTCAACAGACACTCGGTCTCGCACTAAGCGTGACAAAGACGCGCCCCTTATTCGGTTCCTGTTAAGGTTTCCTTGGTTTTTTCAGTGTCTTGTTTTTGTTGTATCACATGAGATTTTTCTTATTTTTAGCTTTTCTATTTGTTTCAATCTTTTCTTTTTCTATGTACTTCTTTGCTTTCCATTTCTTCTTCTGTATTACCTTTTTTCCAGTTTTCTTCACTTTTTGTTTATAGTTTTTCCTTTTGATTATTGCTACTTTTCCTTCGACATTTCATTTCCTTTTTAACTTCTTCGTTCATGTTTTGGGTTTCTTTTTATTTTCTTATATCATTTATGTTTTTTCTTTTCACCAATTTTTACTTTTTTGAAATCGGGAATACAAAAAGTATTCATTGGTTTTGTATAAAACGTTCCTCGTACATAAATTGTTTTTATCAATTTTAATGTCCGTCATGGATTTCAGATTTCTTTGCATATCTCATCAAAATGTTGACCACGTATTAAAAACTATTCATATGTCCTTAAAAAATGTCATCATGTAGTTTCCAAACACATTGATCTTTTATTGAACTATTATTCATCTTGTATATAATAGTCTCCATCGTGTATTAAAAATGTTTCTTGTCGTTAAAAACAGTGTATTAAAAATCTTGTATTAAAATCTTCATCATGTATTTACACAATGTTTATCATGTAACTAAAAAATGTTGATCATGTTTTGGAAAAAGTTCAGCCGGCATAAAAATGTTTAATCATGTATTTAAAAAATACTCGTGATGTATTTAAAAAATGTTCGTCGTGTCTAAATAATGTTTATGGGGAATTTAATACATGCTCATTTTCTTTTAGAAAGTATTTATCGTTCTACTAAAAATTATTGGAGTATTTGAGTATTTTGCTGATGTTGAACACTTTTCAGGGACTACATAGAAAAATTAGCATATTTATCCAAAATACACTATTTTTTGAAGAAAAAAGAAACAAAAAATATAGACATACACGTATATGTACAACAACGAATCTTTTGTTTCTAAACTCCAAAAAAGTTTAGTTTTTAGCAAGTTCCATCGATGTTGAACAAATCCAGTTTTTTCAAGGAGATGAACACACACAAATATGCTCGCTACAGTCGGCCAACCAGGTTCCCACGTGCATTCTTCGCGGGCCACATGAAGACCCATGTTGTTGATGTGCGAGCGACCTGGTTCATATAAATCGCAATAAGCGATGTATAGTCGCATCCGATTCTTCTATGTAAAAGGAAAATGAAAAATCTTACTGAAGTTTATGAGGAGAAGGATTTTCTTATATTTCATTTTAATTATAATAAAAAGACAAACCTCAAAAATGAATTGAACGCATTGATTTACCATGGTTTCTGCCTTGAAATCCAAAGAAACGGTGTGACAGAATGTCACAAAACATTGTAATTATGCCAATATTCTCCATGCATGAATTTTAATTTTTAATTTATAATTCAAACAAATTTGTGACTTCGTACTACTCAAATAGTTAAAACTACAATCATAACCTAATGGTGAATCAAAAAATGAAGGAAAAATTAACTAGCAATTACAATTATAATAAATTGACATTTGGCATTCTTTTTGAGAAAATGAAGTTATGAAGCTATAGCCAACAGCTAGAATTAAGCACAACATGGTTATTATGTGTATGGAAGAGACGAGGATTAACAGAGTCACTACATATAACATGTATATCCATCGCTATCAATGGGAATGTCATACCCACTAATTAAATGAATAATCGTGTTATGTTCTTTCTTTCCGGTGTGAGCAGCATCCCTGCAAGTAACTTTGTGGTCAAAAGCAAGATCAATTTGTGTGTTGTAAAATGGATATGCTATGGCCCCAATTTGTCTCTTCTGAAATGATTTTATAATTTTCGGCATACTTAATAAATGCAAATTGAACAATGCACTAGTTGCCCAATAAGTTAACAATACATTAAGACGACTACTCACACCGTGTGATATGTTCCTTGCGTACGTAACACATAACTACATGTGTTATTATTTCTTTTTGTACCACTAGCTAATCAATTTTACACTAGCTTGGAACACCCAGTCGGCATGCCACATGCACGGGCATGATGCCGTTGCGTGGTGCTGCCTGGTGCAGACGACCTTTGACTCGCCCTACCACTTAAACGCGGCTGCTTGCCATGTCACTCGTGTTCCATTAGCACTACCCAAGTATTGGTCCATGTGGTAGCACACTGTGTAACCATGGTGCCAAGTGATTCAGTGTCGTTATCACCACGTACTCCACCCTCATCAACTCATACTGAACCTCAACACACATGTTAGCCTATTAGTACTGCATGTTGTATTCCAGTTCCCGGTGTCTTCTATGCCTATACCCATGAAATTTAAATATGTAGCTAGTATCAAGGGACACGTCAAGAACACATGAAATGCGGTTGTATGATGCTCGATAGATATTAAGTGGTGGGTAAGCTATTCATCTTTTGCTCTGGGAAGCCTCTCCTTATAAGAGCCTTTCGAGATATGCAGTGACATTAACTTGATAGTCCTCCAAAAGATCAATAGCTCAGAACCTCTTGGTTATGAGCTATGTCCTTAAGTGGGTTGGAGGCTATGAGAGCTTTAAACAAGCGATGCATTCACATGCATTTTCTTTGAGGAAAGATAATATTTTATCAATGTTCTGCCCCTGCATCAAGATGATGCACCTACCCGACACATGAATTTTATTTGTTAGTACAAAGTTGACAAAAAATAAACCACTAGCAATAAAGTTATGTCCTCTTATGAAAAAAGGTACGCTCGGTAAAGCCAACATATAGGGTAGTTAATATTGTGTGGTTTCCAACAATATATTTCAAAAATGATAAAATACAAACGTTCAATTTTAGACCATGGCAAATTGAACATATTTAATGGAATTTTTAGTTGACGCGAGGATGTCAAGTTTAGGTGGTAAACACAACAATTTTTTTGGCAACAAATAAACTGTAGCGGGTTTGTCATGTCTTGCCAACTAGACTTGCCATCCTTAAAAAATACTCCCTCCATTCCATAATGTAGTGCCTATAGTTTTTTGTGAAAGTCAAACTTTGCCAACTTTGACCAAGTGTATAGAAAAAATTGTCTACATCTACAATACCAAACATGTACATTCTGAAAATATAGCTCACGGTGTATCCAATGACATGCATTTGGTATTCTAGATGTACCTACTTTTCCCTACAAATATGGTCAAAGTTTATAATATTTAACTTTTGCAAAAAATTATAGGCACTACATTATGGAATAGAGGGAGTATAAATTGCAACAAAAAAAGTTTGATTTTCCATGGTCAAAAAAGAATGTTCGGCAATTATCAGCGTCGATGTATTTCTAGTCCTCTCAACCTGAATGTTTTAAGCAAATAATATTTGTAGGTTCAGTTATATGCTTTTTGCAAGAGCATTGCTTAATTTGTAGGTTCAAGTTTTGAAACCGTGTATATATAATTCAGTCTAGGAGCCAAACAATAAGTTGTACTCCCATATGTTGCAATCATAGCCTAACTAGTGGAGTCAGTACATGATGAGAAGATAAAGATAATGATACTGATGGTCTTGCTGATGGATTAATTAGTACCACCTTTAATCAGTGACCCATTCAATTAGGTACTGGTTTTTTTTTACTTAGTTATTTAGATACAAAACTATGGGAAACGTTTATACCCGGCGCGCCGGCCGAACATTGGGCCGGTCGCGTGCGGGACGTTCGATCGGGAGTCATCATGTGGCCAGAACAGACCGTGACCCCACCTTATCCCTTCGCTATGGTTGCCTTCCTCTTCCGCTCTCTTGCTCCCCAGCTGCTCCCCCGTCGTCCGAGCGCGCCCCACGGCTCCCGTCGACTATGCGCCGGCGAGCTACTACCAGAGGTGGCCGGAGATACGAGGCGGAGCGCGCGCCGGCGAGATCCACACCTCCTCCCTCCACGCGGCATGCAAACCACATCCGACGAATTTGCAACCACCCAGAGCTTCGTAAGGGGCAGGGTGGAGCTACAAAGACACACGGCCATGGCGCGACGAGTGACGCGTCGCTGGAGTTGAACGACGGACGGCGAGCCAATTAATGTTGCAACCGCACGAAGTGCTGGAACCACAACCAGCATTCGGAAGAGCTACCACAAGCCGCGGTGGTGCGGCTGTGGAGAACGGCAGGGACACCACGACAATGTTGCAATCGGCGTTACGATTTGCTGGAACAGGCGCCGTGTTTTGCTGGAACAGGAGCCCATGTTTGCTGCAAGATCAATGCAACGCTGCAACCAGCATGGCATTTTGCTAGAACCATTGTCATGTTTTGCTGGAAACGGCTTTTCCCTTCCTCAGTGGTGACTATGGTGACCACGGTGACTGCGGTGCATGTTAGTGTGTTTTTGTCCTCCCTTTCTGTTTTTGCTAGAACCAGTGTCTTTTTTTGCTGCAACCAGACACATTTTTTGCTACTATCATTTTTTGATTTGCTGGACAAGATCATTTTTTGCTACAACCATATTTTAATTTTGCTACCACCGGCAAGAAAATTTGCTACATGCAACATGGCGGAGTCACGACCCGCGATGACGGAGACGACAATGTTTTGCTGCATCTCCGTCATGCTTTTTTGCTACGACTAACGTTTTGTTTTGCTACATCCATGAACGGCGCATCGAGGTGCTGCAGGCACGGGAGCTCTTTTTTTGTGAACGAGCCATGGTTTTATTTTGCTTCGATCCATTTTTTTTGCTGGAACCACTCAAAAAATTTGTTACTAATGTCTTTGATTTTTGCTACCACCCCTTCTGATTTTTTGCTGGATCCATATTTTTTGCTGGAACCATCGATTTTTTTTGCTGGAACCAATCACGGTATTTGTTGCGACAGTTGAGAGCAGCTGGGTAGTCGTCATCGTTTTTTGGAAGGGGCAGTACAAAAAGGTTTCAACCAGCAAGCAGAATTGCTGGAATCAGCATCTATAGAAGCTGGAACATGTGATCTCTTTTGCTACATCAAGGGAGTGGTACAGGGCGAAGTGGAGTCGCTTGTTTTTTTGCTACATCGGGATTCTAAAAAGCTACAAACGTTGGGCTGTTTTGCTACAACGGCGACATGTGGAATTGGGTTACTCAGTGAAGAAGACGACTGCGGTGCCTGCAGCGTGCACCTTGCGACGAGCTCGACGGCAAGGATGGACGGGGTGAGGGTGGCACACCAGATGCTACAACCGCGGGGCGGGGAGCTTCAACTGCTGCCAACGGAGGCTCCGTGTCAGCCATGGCCAAGAGCTTCGCGGATATCCGACCATGACGGAGCTCGTCGGCGACCGACGGCGGAGGTCGGCGGTGAGAGGAGATGAGGAGGCGAGGCGAGGCGAGGGGGCAGCGTGTGCGGGGGCGGCGCCCTCCTTCGGTCCTTCCTCTCCCTTTCTTCCGTGCGGGAGGTTGAAGATGGAGTGCGGGGGAGGAGGAGGAGAGATCTGATGGCTGCGCGCGTGCAAATCGGACGGATCTGGGCTGACCGGCCGGAAAATTGGGTCGGCGCGCCGGCGCAGAGCGCTGCCCCAAAACTAAGCAGATCCATCATATATAATCACTTTTGTACCACTAGCTAGCTAAGCAACTGTACAGGTAGCAACGTGGCCGCCGGTGGTCGGTCCGATCCGATCACTCAGTCGGCCTGCATCATCCTGCATCATGGACACAGCAAGCGGCCGCGGTGGCGGCGGCGTCGTCCGGGAACGGAACGAGGCCTTGGACTCGCCCCACCGCTTGACGTCGGCGCTGAAGAGGCCGTGGTGGTACCGTGGTAGTAGCGCTTGGAGATGAAGCCGGAGCCTGTGCTGCGGTCCAAGGTGATGCTCACGGCGTCGCTGCCGGAGGAGCGACCCATGTTGGACTCGCCGAAGAGCGGGGCGAAGCCCTCGTCGAAGGTCACCGTCGGCACCTCATCGAACCGGGCCGCCGCGCAGAACACTGTGGCATACATGCAGGAGGCGAAAAGCAATAGCAGCATCACCGCTGCTGCCGCCATGATCACTCGGTCGACCAAGGACTTGCAGGACTGGAATTTCTTGGCGCCGATCGATCCACAACCTGCGTGGTTTGTGCTCTAATGATGAGTTAAGTAGAAAGGATTTGGATTTGGATTTGTATATATATCATGCGTATTAGCTTTGGTCAAAGTCTTGCAAACTTTGACAGAGTTTAGAAACAAAAGTATTAACCTATACAATAACAAATCAATATCATTAGATTTATTATTGTATGTACTTTCACATTATATAGATTTGTTATCGTAAATATTTATATTGTTTTTTATAAACTTAGTCAAAGTTTGTGAAAATTTTAGTCAACTTTAATATGCAGAGTTAATAAAAACGGAGGGAGCTAGTGTATGTGCATGATGCTGTTGTGTGCTACTGCTTGGAGTGGACGACCTTCAACTCGCCCTACCACTCAAACACGGCTGTCTGCCATGTTACCTGCATTACATTAGCACGAAACGAAACAAGTACCAGTCCATGTCATAGCACATCGTGTACACCATTTGCCTCCCTCCGCCCGAACTATGGTGAGGCGAAACGATTTAGCACTAGTAGAGAACGGAGTTTTAAAACTGGTTTATAAAGGCCTTTAGTGTCGGTTACGGAACTGACACTAAAGTGTGGGCACTAAAGCCCCCCCTCTCCTCCCTTTAGCTAAAGTGCCACCACGTGGCATGAGCTCATGTCCTGGTATGGGGACCTTTAGTACCGGTTGCTGTTACCAACCGGTACTAAAGGTTTTTTTTGAAAAATTTTAGAAAAAAAATTTGATTTTTTTAATTTTTAATTTTTTTGAATTATTTGATGATTTAGTCTCTAATCACCTCTCTTAATTGCTCAAGTGTGGATCACTCATCCAAATCATCTAACTTTTCGACCGGCCACCCATCCCTCTCACTACTCCAGCCCAAGCACGCTTAACTTTCGGGTTCTATTCTCCTTCGTTTCCAAGTCTGCACTTGTTGTTTTCCTAACAATAGTAAGATGTTAATCCTATTAACCCTCAGGAGTTTAGCTTGAGCATGAAGTCACACATTTCACCATTTGAGTTTGAAACTATTATTCTAAAAAAACAGTAATTATTTAGTAACGCTGATATTTTTTGAATAAGTTTGACCATAGTTTGACCACAGTTTGACCAGATTTGACCAAAATTCAAAAAATTGAAATAATTATTTAGTAACACTAATATTCTTGAATAATTATGTAGTAACATTAATACTTCTTGAATAAGTAGTTTGACCAGATTTAACCAAAATTTTTTAAAAAAACTGAAATTTGACCATATCTTTTTTCCTTTTGGAATTTTAGGATTCTAAAAAATTCCAAACAGGCCGTAGGCGGTCTCCATCGGATGCGGATTTTCATGCTGAATTTTTTGATATATTATATGTTTTTTTCCGACATCGTATGCAAAAATTATAGCCGTTTTACATTTTCCCTATACTTTTTGCAAAATATGTCCAAATTTAAGTTTTCAAATTTTACTAACTAGTAGATGTAGTAATATAACTACCTCTCGAAGATTTTATTTTTTGAAGTTTTTATCATTTTCTTTTGATTTTTTTCAGAATTGAAATGGCGACACACGAGAGGGGGGGTAGAGTTTGAAAATTGCCCTATAGTGCCGGTTTGTGTCACAAACCGGTACTATAGGTCAGACCCCTTTAGTACCGGTTCGTGGCACAAACCGATACTAAAGGTTAGCCCTTTAGTACCGGTTTGTGACACGAACCGGTACTAAAGGTGATCGTGGGGCCCCGGCCTGACGCCAGCCTGCCATCACCCCTTTAGTATCGGTTCGTGGCACGAACCGGTACTAAAAGTTCAACACGAACCGGCATTAATGCATAGACATTCGAACCGGCACTAATTGTATAATTAGTGCCGGCTCAAATTCAAACCGGCATTAATGTGCTTCACGTTTGACCCTTTTTCTACTAATGCAGTATCGTCATCACCGCGTACTCCACCCCCATCAAACTCATACCCAACCGCAACACTCATGTAAGTCCGGGAGTGCATGTTGTATTCCAGTTCCCGGTATCTTCTATGCCCATACCCGTGAAATTTAAATACGTAGTATCTAGGGACACGTCAAAACACACATGAATGGGGTTGTACAATATGCTTCGATAGAAACAAAATGGTGAGTAAGCCGTTCTCTTTATAAGAATCTTTCGAGATAGGCAGTGGCATTAACTCACTGGTCTTCGGACGGATCAATACTCCCTCCATTTCATAATATAGTGCTTCCTCTATCCCCGTGCTTTAACTTTGACCGTAAATTTAACTACCAAGACCGATTGCGGCGGGAGCAAAAATTATATCATTGAATTCGTATTCGAAAGAAGTTTTTAATAATGTAACTTTTTCTCCCGCCGCAATCGATCTAGTACGTTAAATTTATGGTCAAAGTTCGACCTTGGGAAGCGCGGACGCACTATATTTTGGAATGAAGGGAGTAGCTTGGAATCTCTTGGTTATGAGCTATGTCCTTGGGTGGGTCAGAGGCTATGAGAGCTTAAAACAAGCGATGCAAGAAAGACAATATTTTATCAATGTCCTGGACTCGGTTTCAAGACGACAAAGTTGACAAAAAATAAACCGCTAACAGTAAGGTTCTGTCCTTTTTTTTTAAATACGCAAAGTTTGTGTATTATTGTATTGATAGAAGAAGTAAGAACGGTTACATGAGTTGATACAACACATGACACGGACGCAAGGGGCGTGAATATGGTGCCCGAAGCAGAGAGATGAAAGATGCACGACCCAAACAAAGAATAACATGACTAAACCCTCCGACCAGAGAAGCAAACCAATCTACAAACTAGACGACCAAAACTTTGAAGCCCACACCGAGGACGCCGCGAGCAACCAAGACACCGCCTTCAAGAAGGAGAACGACACCGAGACGCCATCGTCGTCCAATTCAAAAGCCCGGACCTAGGGTTTCCCCTGATGCTCGAAGAGGGAAACATAACGGCCATGATAACGCCTCCAGGAAGGTGACGGCACCCGCAGGTGTCGCCGCTGCCAGCAAAAGATGCAGAGCTTTCGCCCCGGCCAATTCCAAGCAATCCCAAGCCATCAGAACACGAGTCGAAGAGGAGGTCATCGGGTGTAAGCCGGTGCTACGATTGTAGGAAGGGGAGCCACGTGCAGTGCCAAAGGAGGCATCGTGCATCGCCAGGCGCGTGAACTCCGGAGGATGACGAGAATGTGTGGCTGCGGGGAATGAAGTGGGGATGGGACGGTGACCATAGCCCCAGATAATCCAGGACCTGGAAGGAACGCAGATCTGGGCCACCGGGACCGGAGCAACAGGGAGGTCGGCGGGCCCAGGGAACTGGAAGGGGACGCAGCTCCCGCAGCATGCCGGTGACGATGATGCATCGGGATGGATGGCCAACAAAGACACTGCAGGGTGATGATGGTGCGGATATGCCGAGGAGCCAAAGAGCCAAGAGAGCCAGAAAGAGCGCATCTTTCGAGGCTCGTAGGGTTCGAAGCCGTGCCGGACGGCCGGCAATGGACGCAGGAAGGGGACGCAGGTCCATTGCCGCCGAGCCGAAGCCGCCCATGCAGGGGGAGGTGGGGCGAGGTGGTGGTGTTGAAGTGGATTCACACGCAGCCAAGCCCGACCGGCGTGCCAAAGGAGACAGGCACCGATGGGCACAACTGCAGCCAG